AAATAATTCTGCTAAATAATCAAATAAATTAGAATTACACAGGTGATATTTGTTTCATCTATGTAGTTGGAAGGAGTTTTCATAGCAACCCCAAGGGTAATGCAGTTATTAAAAGATTAATTAACAATTTTCTTTTTCCCAGAACATATTACAAATCTTTAACAAAACTCACTTAGGGAATCCTGGAATTTTAACATGTTCTACTCTAAAGAGCCTGTCTACTTACCAACTTTAGAATTACAGAAATAGAATTTAATTGGCAAAATATATTTCAAATTTTTTCACTAAGTTTAAATGTTCATAGACACTGCTATTTTTCATAAAGAATTAACTCCCAAATCATTATGTTTTTACATTCATAGACACCTGTAATAAAGAGTTCAAGAATTCTGTGTCCTGGTTGTGTATTTAAAATTCCCAGCTAACAAGCAGGAGAGAGACTGCTAGGAATGCTTACAGATGTCTGATTTTACAAGGTCTGGGGTTGTTGTTTTCTTTTTTTTTTTTTTTTTTTCCTTGCTAAAGTGCTTTAGTCTAATGTTATTTATTGTTTATGGAAGTTGTTTGTCATTTAGGACATGAAGTGACCACTCCCTCAAAAGCAAGAATCAAGTTACAATCCATTATTTCATTTTTTGATTGTTTTTCTTTGTAATAGGTGGGAAAGTGGATCCAGGATAAAAGTCCTGCCCAAGACAAAACTCCAAGCTGAAGACTCCAATTATCTATAAATCACTTGAATTTCCTGCAGAGAAAGAGAAAAAGGAGGAAAGAGCGAGACAGACAGAAAAACAGAGACAGAGGATATGCCAAGTGAAACATTTGATACCTGTCCTAAACCAAAATTTTCTCAAAAGCAACCAGGAGTTACCTGATAGCTCAAACCCAAGCTTAGAAGAAACACATGGCCATTGGTTTTGGCTTAATATTGAAATGAAATAACTTTCTTTTAATTGTTCCATCCGTATAAAATGTGTTACATTTTAGATCTGAGATGATGGAATTATGCATTGATCTATTAAAGGTCACTGTACATTCTTCACAGAGAGAAAGCTGTGATTGCTGATGACTGCTGTCCTTTTCAAAGGTTTTTAGAAACAATTCTCCAGTTTTAGAACAGAGAAATGCAATACATTTATGAGGCAAACTGGCTGTGATACTACTCTCAAGTACTTCCCACGAAACCCTCCTGAAGCACAGTTCACACTGAAACCAGCAATGAACAAAATTCATGCCAAATACTCTTTGCACAGTATGATTGCTCCCGAGGTGTAGCACTACACAGCATCCAGTAATTACATTCCTTGCTTATTTAACTATTTAAAAAGAATTTATGAGCAAGAAACCATATGCATTTTTTGATTTTCATACTACAGTTTGCATTAAAATGTAATGAAATTTAAAATAGTTGACTCTCCTCTGAAACATTGTTCTAGAACAAGGAATTGCTGTAACAAATTAGAAGACAAATTAATTTTGGCACTCACTAAAAAAAGAGAAAAGATGAAAAGCTTTTAAAGTGATGATATGGAAGAAAAAATTACACTACATCAGCCAAAATGAGTCTCCTATCAGCATTAAAGCTCCTGAAGTTGTATTTCCAGTAGATAAAAATGTTATCACCTTTTTCCAGTGCTGATGTGCTTATTTTCCTATTAAGTTACTTGGTAATTAGAAACAAAGTCTGACACATTGTAATCTGTTTATACAATAGATCTGAAACCTCTCCAACAGAAATGAAAACATTCTTTAAAGATACTGAAGATGCAAAGATTAAAAACATAAAAACGAATTTTGAAATGCAAAATGCACTTACAAACAAATGACTGTTTTTAAAGCCCATTTTAATCAACAAAACCAATTTAGTCTCATAAGACACCACAGAAACCCAGCAGATTTTTCTACATTTCTACAGTGGATTTGTTCTTAACCCTCTCTTTATGAAAATCACTCCTAAAGGTTTGTAGGAAAAACATGCCCTCTCACAATATTGTTCAAGAGTGTATTCAAGAATCACGGAAGTTTGTGGAGACCTGTTCCAGTGCTGTAACAACCTGGTAGTATTAAGAGTCCTCCAGGAAATGTAAAAGAGTCCCTTGGGCACACAGGGCAATTCAAGAAAGAAAACGTTTTTATTTTCTGATTGAGATACTCAGGTATGTATAGTAATGTCCTCTGAAGTACATCAAAAGCAAGTAAACACACTCGAGAACTACTGATTTTGCACTGAAAATAGACCCCAACGGCTCTGTAGAAAACAGTACATTTACAGAGAAGTGGCAAAGCCAGTCTCAGCAGATCTAATTTGCTTTCTATTATCCTGTGGTTTTTCAGATGATTACAGGGCTAAAAATCTTTTTCTTTTATTACAGATTCAAGGCAATCTTTTAGCAGTTTTTTTTTTTTTTAATATCTCTACACCACATTGGGTAGGGCAGAATTTCAAGCAAAATCCCTTCTTTGGAGAGCAAACCATGAATTTCTCTGCCAGAACAAACGAACACAACTTACCTTGGTGTATTTGATTTCAAGGTTGAGAGTGGGAGAAGGCAGCAGATGCAGAGATGCCATCAGAGCTGCAGGATCTGCCTTCACCTCCCCTGGCATCTCAATTTTACTGGAAGTCATAGTCTTGGGGGGGTTTTATAATACCACCGAGCCCCCCGCTCTGCCCTGATGCTGTGTTGTGTTTTGGGTTGGTCCCCCCCCTCCAAAGCCCAGCGCTGAAGATGTTGCTCTCCTCCTCTGTATATAGGCAGGTGTCAAGCCGGGTCTCTTCTTATTGGACATGGGGGCAGAGGCAGGGGGGCAGGTCCATCCTACCTAGGGCGAGAGCGGCACAGCCCCGCTCACTGCGGCGCAGCCTCCCCGGCCCGGCCCGTCCCGACCGGGGGATTCCCGGCACCCGGTGGGAGCACGGAGCTCCCGGGCGCGGCTCGCTGCCCGCCGCCCGAGGAGCGGAACCGGGGAACGGCAGCGGGGAGCGGGATCACCGGGACCGTCGTGTTCCCCCTCGGCTCCCCGGGGCCGGGCGGGGAGGCGCCGCGGCCGGGAGAGGCCAGTCCCGGCTCCGGCCCCGCCCGGGGCATCCCGCGGGGAGCCCGGGCAGCCCCAGCTCCACACAGGCTGGGGATCCCCGGCCGCGGCGGGGGTAGCGGCGTAGAGGGAGACACCGGGCTGCACTGGGGAAGCCCTGTCGGGCCGAGGTGACCGGGGCACGGTGCCCCGCCGGCGGCGCTGCCCGGCAGCGCGGCCCCGGACCGGCGGCTGCGCTCGGGCGCGGAGCCGACGGGGCAGGGCGGGCGACTCCTCGCGGGACCCGGGCCGCTGCGCGGAGACGGCGCAGCCTGAGCGGCAGCGAGTCCGTGCCCGCTCCCCGTCCAGCCACCGCCGCCCGCTGCTGTCCCGGGCTGCCCGCCCTGCCGGCCGGGGGCTCCGCGCCTCACCTGGCGGCCGCGCGCCCGCCCTGCCCCGCTCCCGCCCCCGGGAGCTCCCCGAGAGTCCCCGCCAGCCGTGCCAGCAGCGCGGCCGCTGCTCCCCGGGCCGACCCTCTTTTCCTTTGGCGGCGGTGCCGCCGGAGCGGCTGCGCCCCGACCCTCGGCGCTGCCGCCCCCATCGCCGGCCGCCTGCTGCCCCCTGCCGGCCGCGCCCGCCGCCACAGAGCGCGCGGGGAGCGGCGCCTCACGGCCAGGGCAGGCCCGCCGCGGCCGCGCTTTTCCTGACGGTTCTCTGCAAAAGAGGCTTAAAGGGCAGAATAATTTGTTCAAGCAACAGCCACCTGATGCCAGCTATTGGTTTTGGGGGGCCCTCTTAGCGGGAGGCCACGTCGTGCAAGAGAAGAGGCTGGGCAGTGCCGTACAGCAAGTTACCGGGAAGGCAGCGGCCAATGGAGCCACATCCGAGCTGACAGGCATCAGAAATTCATTGTCAAAGCCCTACACGCTCCCTGGTCAAACCTTGTTGGCAGAAAACATAGAAAGATCAGGCCGTTTTCGTTACTTTAGGCAAAATCAGTGAAGTTCTGCTTACTGATGCAAACACTGCCAATGTTTTGAACCTGATCAGATGTCATGTTTTGAAGTTATCACATACCAGATAGATGAACAAAGAAAGGACACCAAAGCTACAGCTGTCCAAAGTTGGCAAAACAAAGCAACAAGAAATACACCACACGACCTTTTCATTGACATAGTCAAAAATAAACAATGGGATCTGGCCATGTTTTGATTTTGTAACAGTATTTGTTTGTTGATGCCCTTTATATTCCTCACTCCATGTTTGACAAGTTCACAGACAATTGAAAAGATTGTCCCAGCATTCTCTTAGTGTTTGTACAGGAGCATGGAATGAAGATTGCTTGGGCACAGACAGGCAGCACAAGGTAGAGAGTGCCAGTTAAGTAATTTCAGGGTTAACATGTATATTTCTGTAAATTTCCATCTCACTAATGAAGAAGACTGCAGATTTTGCTTTCTCTCATTTTCAGTCTTTTTTTTTTTTTGACCTGACAGAGGAAATGGATTCATAATATTCTGCTGTAATGTGACATGCAGAGCTGTCAAACTGTGACACTTGGGATGAGTGAGAGATTTAAACGTCAGAAATTCAATTTTTAATGGCACACTGGCAACACAGTCCTAACACTTCATCACAAGGATGACACCTTCTAAAAGCCATTTTAAAATAAATCAGAGTGGGGATGTGCTCCTTCGAAAAAAGAATGCATTTAAACAAGTTTCAGGAATGAGGAAACTGTATGACAGTTTCATTATTAGATCAATAAAATTCAGGAGATTTTGGTGAGAAGGGATTCCAGTGTGTGTGGAGATGCAGCTCAAACCCACACAATCTGGAGCTGCTTAAGTGACCTTCATCCACTTCTTGGTGTACAAACCACATTCCTCTTACATTTCAAAGCAATTCAGTTTGCAAAAGCCCTCAGAGCCCTTTAGCCCAAGGGCTTGTTGGCATTCCCAGATGGAGAATGGGACTGCACTTACCATTCCAGGGGGTCCTGGTGTGCAGCCACCCTCAGAGGGCTCCCCACAAGACGTGGCACACGTGTCCTGCTGCTCTTCCAGATGGGCAGGGACTGACTGGAGTTCCTCTTCCACCACCTGGGAAGATGCCAATGCTCAGCCTTTGGTGCCCAGGCCAAGGTGGGCTCTCACCAAGGACAAGAGCAGCTCTGCCAAGCAGAGTGAGGAATGAGGTCTTAGAGATTTTGGGGGCACTGATGGACCCAGCCTTGGGAGCTGCTTCCAGAGTCAGCATCACACTGGTTACTTTGTGATAGCAAATCGAGTCATGGCTTAAAACATGCAAGCAAATATTTAAGAAATAATTTACTGTGGACAGGATTGCCTTGGACATTAGGACAATAACCCAGTAAAAACAATGAATACGAAAGGAAATGAATTAATTTGTGAAAGAAAAAATGAATTAAGAAAAAGAAAATAAAGAACAGAAACAATACTCGGGGTTCAGTCCAGTGGTCCCTAAACACCTCCATACAACAGAAAACCACTTAATACAGTGCTGTAGTTTCTGGGTTTGTTTTTTTTTTTTTTTTTTTTTTTGGGTTTTTTGGGCTTTTTTGGGTTTTTTTTTTTTTTTTTTTTTTTTTTTGGGGGGGGTGTTGGGTTTATTTTTAAATTTGCAAAACTAAATCAACTGTCAATTAAGTCAGACTGGCTTATTCTCTCTCACATGATTGGGTTTTAATTAAAATTTTACTTAGACAGCAAATCAGGAAACAAATATGTTCTGTTTCAGATTGCAATGACAAAGTCTTCACACTTTGTGATGAAATGGTTGTCAATAAAACGAAGAACAACCAAGTGACTCTGTTTCTTGTTTCAGTCTTAGAATTTAAGCTAGTATACAGCCAATATCAAAATTGTTCCTGGAGGGTTTAATTTTTTATATTTGGTGCAATCTGAATGTATAATTTGAAGATAGACCTTTGTTACATTTAGAAGCCTCAATTTCTCCACCCATCCCCAACAACTGGTATTATCTATAGATAAGGATACAGACCTGGCTTATACAAACACCATCAGGCAACAGGACCTGTGGTGCCCAGACAGGGTGAAAAGACAAAGCTGCAATGTTGAAGACAATAGAGATGTAATTAAGGCATTCCTGGGTTTCTCAGTCAGAGTACTGGTACTTTTCTGCTCTATGTTACTGTATACCTGTTGTCTAAAGAAAATTATAGAACTAGAGGATGAGGTGAAACTCTTTGTATCTCAGAACGTCTTTTGGGCAGTTTAGCTGTGCCAGAGCACATATGGACACACCACTGGAATGGGCAGTGGATGTAGCAACTCCAACAAGGCTCCAAGCAAGAGCTCTTCGTTCTCGCTGCTTCTGATCCGTGAACATTTCTTATGCTCCTGAGTGAGCTCCAGAAAGCACTGTCACACACAGGAACTGAGTCACATCACTCTATCAGACACTTCCAATGATTCCTCTCAAGATCAACTGCAAATTCTACCCCAAAATTATTCCAATATGACCCATAAGTTCTTTTATATATAACTTTTTCTCTCAGCTGTTCCACTACCATTTAGCAAGGATATTCCTGGTTCCTCATACAAATTCAGTATTGATTGAGAGATCCCACTCCTCTGTACCCTTTGCCTCCTGCTTCAGTAAATGTCTCTTCCTCTTTCTTGTGTGCTTTATAAATTGCTTTTGGAAGAAAAGTAGAGATTGAATAAAAACTTCCCCTAAGTTATTTTTCAGCTCAGACTTCCACTTAGGAAATCTGAACTTCATTTTCTGATCTACACATTAAAGCTTCAACCTCAGGTGTTCTATTTTAATTGCCTGCTATTTTCATTACCGACCATGAGGGCAGCAAATGCTCTTCAGGAGATACTTGTATTTTAATTTATCTGCAAACATAAATCACACATTATAGCACTTTTTTCCTCTAGGTTAATTGAATCAATTCTCTAAATGTCTCTATGCCTGACCATTGCAAAAGGCTCACTGGTTGAAATCTCTTTAAGAATTATGGCCCTTGAGCTGTGTGCAGGATGGGAGCAGTCCTTGCTCCAGACAAAGCTATGTTATACATAGGAAGTAAAAAGGTATTGTTATCCACCTAAGCAATATGACCTGTGCAGCAACACCCACAATGCTGTGAGGACCCTCTAAAATATTATTTCAGAATTTTTCATGTATCTCAGTGAATCAATTGGTTTAGAATTATAAATCTTAGTAACAACTGAGCCTAGATATATCTTAAGTTATAAATAAACAGAATAAAATCTACTTTTACTTTCCTTATTTCTACATTACCTTTAACACCAGGAAAAATGCTGATATCAAGAATAATAATAATTTCATGACTGAATATTCAAAAATATCTAATGATGAAAACTTGATTTAACACTTTTCTTAATAAAAATTAGTTAAATTGATAATTTTTAGTAAAATGAGTCAAACAGATCATATTAGCCATTTTATATCCAGTAGAACTGTTAAATGCTGGCAAAATTAACAACTGGTAAATTTGCAAAATTTGCAAAAGGAAGAGGCCTAAAGAGCAGAATAATTTTTTCAAGCAACAGAGATCTAGATACAGTTAGTAAATTTACCAGTTGTTGGTAAATTTTTGGTAAATTTAGTCCAAAACTGAAATGCAAATTGAAGGATTTAAGCAAGCTGCAAATAATTCAGTGAGAGTGATAAAGCAGAAAATGCTTGAAAAAGTTCAATGTTTGACTCATTTTATAAGTAGGTCAGTTTTAAAAATTAGCATTTTAGTTTAAGCCAGCAGCTGAAATGTCACCTGTCCCTCACTGGCCAGAGTGACCTCAGCAGTGCTGCAAAGAGCATGTGCTGGTAACTGTGAACTTATAGGGAACATGTTCTTAGGTGTAGGGATTTTATTCTGAATTTAAATATATATAAAAACCCTTTGTTTTGAATTTCTCTTCAATTTACCTGTTGAAATTTATTATTTGTAAAACACATCGAGCCTCAAATGGATTGACCTTCTGCTAATGTATATCACCTAATGAATGGATGCAATTAACTAATTCATATTGGAATATTGCACTTTCCAGCTCACATTCATCATCACTAAATGTCTGATCTAGTTTGCAAGTTTAAATTTTTTATTATTACCCTTTAAACTAAAGAAATAAGTCTTGTATTTAATTACCTGAACTTACATATTCAATTAATAGCTTCATTACCTTAATGAACATAGATACCATGCAGAAGTAACAAAAGATTGCTGCTGGGTCTGCTCACAGGTACACCCTATAAAGGGTCAGCTGTGAAGCTCAGAACACCTTTTTTTATTAAAAGGTCTTGATTGTGGAGTTTCAAAGGAATTGGGCCTGGCAATCTAAGATTCTTATACAGGGGCCTGAGATAAATGTTCTAAATATTTAACACATAAAAGGAATCCCAGAAACAAAACTTGTATCTGGAAAGACAGAGGATTCAAACAATTCTGGATTGTGGATAATTCTGAATGAAAGGGCATTAAAAGAATGAAAACCAGGCAGACTGACAACTCACCTGCTAAAGGATGAGGGATGAGTGGAACACAGAGTGAAACAAACATGCTCTTGTTGTGGGAGAGAGGGGACTGGGAGCAGCAGCTCTTACAGAATATTGTTCTCCAACAGAGGGTCAGATTGTGGCTGGATGGCTTCCTTGGAAAGCCAAGAAGAGTGGGAGACAGGTGAAGGTAGGTGGGTTGGTGAGTCAGGTACAGGAAACACTGTCACTTTCCCAGTGGAAATTAGGTTTTAGAACCATGAATCAACTCTCCTAGTTAGCTCCCTGTATTAGCCAAATGCACAGCTTTGCTTTTGTGTGTCAGTAGAGTCAAATCTGTCATTATCTTTGGCTTTCATGTTACATTCCTTTTATCAGTTAGGTAGTCTCAGATCTCCTCCTCTTCACAACCCTACAAGTAGCCTTAATAAGTCTCAGGGCTGCTACAGGGAACCTGTGCCCTGCAGAATGATGAAAGGTTTTGATAATGTATCCCATTCCGTTTAAGAAAATATAGGATTCAGATCCCTGCAAAGTCCACTGGATATACTTTGAGGCTTTCTGCATGCTGCATTAATGTATTTAGCAAGATGCCTTTTGTTTTTAATAGCAAAGCAATTTGAGAAAAGGGAATTTGCAGAAAAAAAGAGCAGGGAATTGGCTAAAACAAGGTGTTCTACTGTACTAAACTGATCTACGCTTTAAAAGCAAAATTCTTTTTATACTGCAACAGTCTTTCTCTGGATGCATTCAGAAAGTAAGACTTGCCCATAGCATAAGCTACCAGATAAGCTCCTCCAGAGCTGAGAAGGCAGCACAGCCCAGTGCAGCTGATAACAGCGGTGCACATAAGCATCTGTCCAGCATTGCCCTGACACTTCCACCTGGTGCCAGCACTCACAGCCCTGTCACAGGGCCCTCTGCAGTGGAATGTTATCTGTGCCCCTCTGTGCCAGCACGGCTGCTGAGAGATTAACCCGGCTCACAAACTCTCAGGCAGGACCTGTGTTACACATACAACAGACTTTGAAATTTGCTATCATCACTGATACAACTATACATAACCTATATATGTGCAGTACCATCAGCTAGGCACTGAAGCCTCATGGTGTGCCCAGTCAGTCAAGAACAAAGCAAAATCCTGTGTCCTGCTTTAGAGAAATCCAGTTTAGTTCTCCCTGAAATCAGTGCCAGCAACAGCAGACATATATATGTCAGGCCTTAAAGATTATGAGCAAAAAGCCTGAAGTACACATATATGGTAAAGGTTTGAGCTCATATTCATGATACAGAAATGTTTTATCTGGACACTGAGATCACAGAGAAGAAAGAACAAATTCTCAAGGAGTTCCCTTGTGTGCTGTGCCCCTCCTCCAAGGTGGGTTTAGCTAAACCTGAGCTGCACATTGCAAATATTTCTCACCTTGAGCACCTTTTTACCAGGGACTACAGCAGAGACAGAGGGGTGATCAGGAAATAGAAGAAATAAAGAAATAGAGGGTTTATGTACTAAAACACTTAGAATACTGAATTACAATGTGTTCAGATCTTCCTCACCTGAATTTTTCCTTTGACTTCCCCAGCAGAACCAATCTGTAAAACAGAGAATGCCCCTTATATACCACGCATCAGTTTCTGTATGAAAACTGAGATATAAATTAGGCAAAGGCATTTGACCAGGGACCTGAATTAGAGGTACACAGTCAGAGTTAGTCTAATTCAACTAAAATCAGCAGACTTTAAAATAATTTGGCCCATATTATTACAATACAAAAAATATACAGTGTATTTACAACCTTGGTCTCTCCAGCTGTGTTGGTTTAGGTTTTATTACATCAGTAATAACAATTTATGTGATACTCTGAATAATGTGCTATTAAAAATTCAGTACACTATATATTGTTACCCATGGGATTTAAACTGTGGGAGCTATGTGCATTATTCTCTACTTTGCTATTTCTATAGGAGTGAAGATTACTATAAAAATGGTTAGGTTATATACATCATGTGAATTCCTGCTCTGCATGAATCCAGGTGAAGAGAAGAAATAGCTCAGTCCAGACTGCCTCAGGGGTAAGGGTCCCAAGAGTCTTAGTCTTGCAATCTAAGGTTACACTGCTCCCACATTCAAGCATGAAAATAATATCAATGTGCTTTTTGATGTCTTTAAAGGATGCCAGCAGATTTGTGAGGCATAACCTCCCTTAACAGAATCCATTTGATGCTTCTACAGAGCACCAGTTTTATCTCTGTGTCTATTGATTTTACTTTTTACAGCAGTTCATCTGATTTTCCTGGCACAGAAGTCACACTGACAGTTTTGTAGCTCCTGTGATCACCTTTGAAGGACTCTCCTGAAGCACCAGCAGATCACTGGTACATTTCCTATGTTCTGTTTTGCTGACCTTAGGATCAGGATCAGCAAAAAACCAACCCACTGGCACTAGCACTTGAGAAGCTGAGCATTTTAACCCCTTGGTGGAAATGCTGCATAGCTCCAGCAATTAGTTACTTGTTAATTTATCAATTTCTCTTGAAGTGTTTCCTGATAACAATTTATTTTAGAACAGTTGGTCACACTCAGCCCACCAAATCTAGCAAGGCAAATAATTCTTTTAGCTGTGGACATAGGCAAATTGAATGCTTCTTCTGTGCTTCCATCCTCCATAGCTTTACTTACAGGCTCACAGGACTCCTCTGGTAATGGAATTTGAAAACATCTAGACTGTTACTTTCATATTCTTGGCAAAACCTTAAAATCTTTTTGGTGACCTTTCTTGTGGTTCTACATTTAATATGTATGCTCCTTACTTACTTACATAACTTCCATTTTTGGAAGATGTCTTCATTTTCTTCCCTCAGATGACACAGTTTCAATATTTATGGGTGGCACTGCTGGTATCCTTATCATTCTGACTCTGGGAGCAGGGCCCAGGTGAGGGAGCAGTAGAAAACAGTAATCACAGTGCATTTTCTTTCCCTTTTTCAACCAGATGTTCCATTGCATACAACTAAAAGGCAGTAAAACAGAGGATTAATCAAATAGATAGTAATTAAACTCAAAGGTTTCATGGTGTTTATATTCACACTTTACTTGTCTTTCTTAAAATGCTACATACATATTTGTTAGATTAGGTAAATATCTTAGAATCTCTTTCTTAAATATAAGAAAAGGAGAAACTGAATTCAAATGTTCTGAGCTGCCCCCTTTTCTCTTTGGAAAGTGAGGCAGTGCCTTTAAATTGCCACATGTCAAAAGCTGGAAGGATTTACCAAGGGAGCAGTCTTCCCCTGTGTACTCTGTTCTTCAATACTTTCTTAGAGCACCTGCTTGAGTCTCATTATGGAGCTGAGGAGAACCTTTGGTCTAACTTAGCATCCCAGTTTTTATTAATGGAGTTAAATCATATGATTTTTATAAAGCATTGAAGAAAATCTGATAGGATCAAAGGTGAAATAGATGCTTTTGTGCCAGTTCTCCACCCTGCAAAGACAGAAAATTCATATACGGAAGTCATAATGATCTGAACAAATGAGTATGAATTTCTGTCTCTGACATATTATCACCCCACTATTAGTTGAAAAATAGCATTAATTAATGCTATGAGACCAAAGTCAGAGATATCTACATACTACTAGGTGAGCAAGACTTGCATCTGCATAAGAGAAAGAATTGCTGTGGACAAACAACTAAAAATTGCTTTCATAAACATGTTTCTTTATTTATCATTTTCCTGAAAGAGAGGAAGTGGTTTAATCTCATTCCTGCTGTAATGAATACCCTCCCAAGCATCCTCCCTCAGTTCTAATGTATACATTATTCTGAAAGAATTCTCTCACAGACATAACATACACTCTAGCACGCTGTGATAATTAAGGTCCTGAATAATATGTTTGTTCTTGGTGGTGTGGGCTAAAGGTTTTCCAGCTGCCATACACAGGCTATTTTCAGGGGCTCCCCAGAGGCAGGCCCAGCTGCCTGTGCCACAGGCAGGACCTGTGGAGCAGGACCTGGAGCTGTCCTGCAGCAGTGTCACCGCCTCTGCACGGGTGTCCCCGGTCAGGCAGCACCAGCACAGATGCTGCCATCTGCTGCTGCATCAGCTCCGTGCTGCTCCACAAGCCAGCGCCTCCAGAACCACCTGGGGACACACTGCTGTTTGGATGCAGAGGTAGAGAAAGGTGAGTAAAAGGACACAGAAAAGCAGTTAAGGATGAAAACTGGGTGGTGGGGAGAACTGGAGGGTTAAGGGATGAAGCTGGTGGTGGTAAGTGCTGCAGGGAACACGCATCAGGAGCTAGCTGGAGGCTAGGAGGAACACTGATGGGATAACAAGTGGCTCATTGCCCTAACCCTGTTTAGGACAGATACAAACCTCAGCTACAATACATGCCAAAATAATCTACCGGAACCGGACTGAGGTTCTGGTGTCAAGTCAAACAGCGGAAAATACTTGTAAATCAACTAGACAGTGTCAAGTCTGTATCACATCTGATAAAACTGATCAAGATGCTGAAGAAATAAAGGTGTCATATTTTTCTCTAGGAGGCGCAGTTCTTCGAGATATTTGGCAACTTCAAGTCTTAAGACCATAGAAAATAATATTATAATGCTCCATATTATAGCAACCACGCACTTTTAAGCTAAACATACAGGAAATATATAGTAAGTCAGTGCTTCACTTCCCTGTTCTGCCTTGTAGGGAGCCACTGGACCAAAGCAGATTTCATTAAATGTTCTTCATTTATTCTGCCTCGTTGCTCTTTTGTAAACAGGGAAGTTCACTAGAGAGCAAGGCATTTAGTCCAAAAAGAGTATTGTGAGTGAATATGCAAATTCAACACACATCACCAAGGTAAGAATCCTCATTAGCCACTGAAATGTCTCAGAAGTTATGGGCTTTTGTGTGCAGGGTACAGCACAGCATTCTCCCAGGCATTCGCTCTCTTTACAACTTCCCCTTGAAAAATTCTTTGACAACCAATAGTAGCATGGTTTAAATCCCAATCTAGGTCAGAGAGAAATTTGCAACTATATATTGGTTCCTTACTTCGTGGTTTATCTTTTTGCCTTTCTTTTTGATCAGATGATAGAAACAACATTTTATTCATTCTTACCAGGATTAAAAAAAAAAAAAAAAAGTAACATAGGAAAGGTAATGATTAATCCATTCTGTAAGAAAAAAGAAGAAATCTGATTGTGAACTTACTGGCATTATCTAACCAGTATAAGTAGAAGTGCACTCAGAGAAGGCATAGAATGACAAACCCATGAATTGTCAGGGCATGTTGAATTGGTTCTGTCAATGCCTGCAGTCAGATGATTTCACTGGCTGTACAAGATGAAATCTCATATTTCAGTGTTTAAGTAAAAGTGTCAAAGTTCAGCTGGAGCGGGGACGAATACAGAACAAATTTTGTGTGTATTTGTAACCAGGGCACCAGAGCAATAGAGGAAGCCAAAATGAGCCGGAAAAACAAAAGGAGTTTAAAGGAGAAATTTTCCTTGAAGAACAGCCTGGTTAAAGAAGCCCTCTCAGAGTTCCTGGGAACTTTTATACTGATAGTAAGTGTCAGCTGCTTTCCTTTCTTCCTACTAATCTAATGTTGGACAGTGCTTGAAAGGGGACATGTACGTTTTTCTTGTACTGTGCCAGCAGTGAGGTTACAGCCTGACCGTGCACAGCTTGAATGAATTGCTCCTATGATGGTAAGTTTGTAATTCCTTTCTTCACCCCATGTAATTATCACTGCCTATAAAAAACAGATTGTTTTATGTATTACAATTGTCTGATTGGCATTAGATTTCATCTAGGAGTAGAATTTCAGTGAAGGAGCACACTCTGAACAGTCCAGATATGTACAATGGATGTTGCTAATACTCTCCTGGTTTTTAAAAACTCAGCAGCTCATTTTATGCACAGATTCTGTTTACATTAACAAACATATTGTACTGCATGTTTAGAAAATTTTAGTTGAGTTGTTTTCCTGTGTAATATAGGAATTTAGCTTTGTGATTTGAGTGAACTTATTGGGAGTTGCATTGCCAAACCTTCGGAGATTTTGTAAGTTAAAAGTTAAAATTTTTTGGTTTAAACTGTACTATTATATATATATATATATATTGCTTGGTCCTATAGTACTGCTACAACTTAGATTAACACCTAAATTTCACATTTTTATAACCCCAGATTTTATTTTCTTTTTTTACTTAATTTCTTGTGCAGTTTTTCTCTGCATTTTGCACTGGAACTGTGACTCACCAGGGGAGAGAGCAGGCTCTGTAGCAGAGCCAGAAGTCAAGCAACTAGACTATTTATGCCAAACTTTCTTTCTTTCTTTCTTTCTCCTTTTAGTCTGGACAAAGCAATATTGCTTATTGCTAAATATTTCATCATAGTGAAAAAGGGGGGGAAAAAGTAGCAGGCACAGTACTGACATAGGTTTTATAACTGTAACTATATCAGCTAAATTTCAAGTAAGTCATCTAAAAATTCCAGTAGCTCATAAAATACTGGAAATTATGGTCTTTACTACAGTTCAGCCAACTGAAGTGCACCGGCACTAAAATAACATTATTCTCAAATTTAATACCATCCATAAGATGTTATTACAGTAAGGAGCACATTTAGAAGCAAGGAGCACAGAGCACTTTACAAACATTAATGAATTAAATGTCACAACACCCTGGTAAGGAGGGGAAATGTCATTATCTTCATTTTGTATATTAGCAAACCTGATTACAGGAGCCTGCACAGGAAGCCTGTGGCAGAACTCTGACTATAACCCACATCACCTGACTTCCAGTACTCTGTCCTCACCACAAGATCCTCCCCCTCTTTCCATTAATAAAATTAAGCAAGAGAAGAAAACATATTAAAGTGCAGATTAGACTGCAAATGCTATTATTTAATATTATGCTGCACAAGGCTAGAAAGGAAATGCAAACCCAGATCCTATTTTCTAGTATATTCACCATATGAGTGTAGTAGAAAATGAAGCTACAAAATTGTTGTTGACAATCTGAGTTTCTCATTTCTCTTACCCTTTCTAGTTTCAGTCTTGGTTTAAAGCAGAAAGAACCTCACCTGGATTAAGCTGCAGTTTTCTCAGTGCTTGGATACCTCAGCTTGTGTTCAGACTGCACAAGTAACAGCAGTACCAAGTGTTTATTGTGAAGAAACTGCTTTTTCTGCTGCTGTCTTAAGCTGCGCAGGGGGAGTTTAGGTTACACATCAGGAAGAAATCTTCACTGAAAAAGTGATTGGGCACTAGAATCACCTGCCCAGGGAGGTGGTGGAGTCACCATTCTGAAGGTGTCTAAAAAAAGATTGGACATGGCACTCAGTGCCATGGTTTAGTTGTTGAGGTGTTGTTAGGTAATAAGTTGGACTTGATGATCTCAAAGGTCTTTTCCAATCTAGTTTATTCTGTGATTCTGTGATTCTATTTATTGCTGTAGCTTTTAAACTGTGTCAGCTAGTAAGCACTTAAAGCACAGATAAATATTAAACCCTTAATTTCAATTGGAGCTAATGAAAGAGGCACCCTAGTGAGTCAGAGGACAGAAATCTCTGAAGAACAGCATGTATGCAAAAGAAGCCATAGTAATAGGATAGTGGAAGAACTCTTGTGTTAAAGCTGTTACAAATGGAGAGAAGAGTTCACGGCCTACAGCACAGTTGATTCACAGTTGATTTTTGCTGAAAGCCACTTGGGGTTGCTGTGATGGTGTTTAGAGACTGTGGAGAGCACCTGTGCCACGGAGTGAGGCTGAGACAGCATTTCTGTTAGCTACAGGCTCTGTCTGGAAGCCAGTGCTAACTGACCACACCTAAATCTGGGACCCACTGCTGGGAGTTAGCCGGGTGAAACTCTGTCCCTCCAAATCACCTATTTCTATTTTTTCTGGAAAATAACATGAGAGGCTACTTACTAATAGGAGCCTAAGCTACCATCTTTGGTAACTCCCAGTCTTGCAACATTATTTTCCAAACAGGAAATCTAGGAAGTGGAATCACTCATCAGACAAAAACCCAGCCTTCACCTCAGGGTGTGGTTTGCAATGTTAGACAGATTTGACACAACAAGCCTTGAGAAAGGCACTGGCCACAGAGTTTGGATAAAATCTCCTGGTCAGTCCTACTCAGCATACTGCAGTTTGCCTTGCAACATGGATTCAGTGCACGTAGACAAACTTCTTTCCAGGTAAAAATAAAGTAGAAGATGAGCTCCAGAATCACAAGAAATGTGCTGACCATTAATGGATGCTCAGTCCAGTGGATCAGACTGGAGATGCTCCAAATAAGTAATCCCTCCTGAGAGATCCAGAGTCAGGTTCTCAGGTGCTTACATTACACGACATGATAATACAGGCACAGCTCACGTGAGCCATGCTTAGCAAAGCACCCAATTTCAGTAAGAAACATGAAACTCCAGGAGCCTGGAAGCATCTTGAGCTGGGAGAACACCTGCCTGTTTGCACCATGGTGGCTGAGAGCCCAGCCTCAGACAGTCTCAGCCTCCTGCAGCTGGGACTGGCCCCAAGGTTTCCCTTGAGGAAGAGCTCTCTAGGGAGCTTTTAGTTCTCCATCATGTTTCCTGGTTCAGTGCATTTCCTCTGGGGACTTCTCCGAGTTAATCTGGGGGACAACACCTGTGTGCTAGCACAAGAGAGTCAGGAAGCCATGCTGCATCAGATAGATGGTTTATGTGGCTTTTTAGTGAGTCTGGTTGGAACTTTCCTATCCAACTGCCTCTCTGCTTTTAATCATGCTCCTCTCCATAATTCCTCTTTGGAACTTGACTGCATTGCTCTCAACCAAAATGGGATTTACTCTGACTTACACCATTAAGTATATCTGAATTGAAACAGTTCCAAAAGGAGATGCCAAATAGGCCATGTGGCTTCCTTTAACAGCTACCTAACACAGTTTCTATTTCATTTTCACTCTCAAAAGCATCTTACTGAACAGAGCTTCCCAGAAAGGAGCTGCACAGGAGCCAGGATCTCCAGAGGCCAGAACAGCATTCACTTCCTTGCTGAGACAAAACACAGGCTTCCACTTAGCACAGAAATACAAGTGGGGAGTATATATGCTCCTAATAGATACCTATATATGTATTCCTATGTGCATATTCCTATAAGCCTGGTCTCCAACTGGAGGTGGGGAGCCTCTTGCAACGCCCATGGAAGCAAATGTTTGTGTGTGTTTAGAAGATTCAAGGCACAAGCATTAACTGAATACATGACAGCCCTGAAATAGTTCAGCTAATGAGGAAGGCTATTTATCATCAAAATATTTTAGTCTTGTTTTCATATTCTGACCACTTCATTATGCAAGTTATTTCTCCTGCTCTGTTGCAGAGTTGAGTTGCTTCAGAAAAATCTTCAAGATTAGCATTACATGGAATTGCTCAGTCCATAAGATTAAAATTTAAACCATTTTTCTATATCTACTTTTTGTGGCCCTACATTCCAGTGCACCTTAATTGCAATACTGCAGGGTAACATATATCCCTTATTCTAAACATGCATTAGAATTCTCATTGCATGATGTTACTACATGAAAGAGAACATAGCTTTTCATCCTTTGCTCCTTAAATAAGTGTTTAACATTTAACACAAAACCACTACTTAGAAATTTTAAACAAAGATAAATTCCAAGTCCTAAATTTTTGTGAAAAGGAGACTTCTTTTTGTATAGGATGAAATTACAGCAAGTTTTGTCTAAGGTAAAACATTAAATATCAGCATGTTCTAACAGCTGTCTTGTTTGCTATCAGCAATGAATTTCCTGGAGTACAGAATCTTGTATAATTAGCTCTTAGTGAACTTAAGTTTGTCAAAGCTAGATAAGTGGGTATTAACACTTATTTATAATTGATATTTTGATCTGTCACTCAGCTTTTAAAATATTACATAATGCTACAAAGACCATGAGCCTTAGCAGTGTTTGCACTTTGAAGAGCAGCTCTTATGTCAGAGATCCATACTTTTGGGTCTCTGGCAGCAAAAATATAGTACAACCAACAAATAATAGATGCCACTCATGAATCTAATGTTATATAGTTGCATATATTTTGATGGCATTACATTTTGCTAATTATTCTGGTGAAGACATACAAACTCTTCTTCCTTTTGAAACTGTATTAAACCAGCATTGCAAACAGAAGATGAAGTGGTTACAAAGACCCTTAGTTGTTAGGAGGTTAAGGAGGGTTCTTGCATACTGTTGTTATTTTTATAATCTTATTATTATCAGAATCAGGTTTTTTTTCTAGACAGCCCTTCTGTTTTAGAAGTCATTCTTTAATTCAGCTGAATATTAAGCAGTGTGAAAGATTTGAAAGGAAGGTTAGCTAATTATTCTTTTATCCCAAAATATTAATGCAGCAAAACATTCTGAAAAATTATGGGAGTCTTTTGCTTTCCATCCAAACTTAGGTCCCCCAGTATATGACATTTCAAACTTTTAGGTGACTCAGATGTTGTGTTACACGAAAGCTTTGAAGAAAATTATTTTCATTTCTGCAATGTCCGCCCCAGCACGTAACTCAACACTCATGGTTTAACCAAGAGGTTTCAGTAAGTTGAACTAAATTTCCCAAAACCTTTTTCTGTGGATACCCTTCTCCTCAGAAAGTTTGCATCTATAGGACTGAAGCATAGGCACCTCTGCCTGAGACTTACAGAAGACTTGCATCTCTCCAACCTTCAACTGTGAGTGCAAAACTTGAATTTATGTTTCACAGACACAAATTTACAAGGTGTTTTTTTCAAAAGTTTCACCAAATAAAAGAAAGGTAATAAAAGTAATAACTTTTTAAAGCTGTCATAAACAGTTGGAGAACAGAATAAAAGAAAATAAATGTAGTTTGTGCTATGCAGTGAGTTTATATCTTTGTGATCTCAACAATTCCATAAACCATTCTGGTTGAAAGTGAATTCTAGGGAGCTCTCCAATCGAATGTTTAAAGGCAAATGTGACTCTGTTCCTCTAACCCATTCCTCACAGGTTTCTTTACTGTTAAGAGCATTCAGATTTCTTTTTTTTTTTTTTTTCAACAGCAAACAGCTTAGATTTTAATTACTCCTAACCACGTACCTCTAACCATGAGGACACAGCAGAGATCCAGCTCCCCTGTTTCTGCAGCCAAAGGAAGGAGTAAAAGAAAAGGAGCAGGCATCCTTATACTCCAAGGAGAGGACAGAAAACCTCCTTTCTCCGAGTCTGCAATGCCCAACTCTTGCACACTTTCTCAATACTAAGTTCCCTGAGAGTTGGTGCAGAGACTAAACATATTTTAGGAGTTTAGAAAGGTTTAAAGCTTTTCAGCTGGGGTAGGAAGCAAAGCATCATAGCTCAAGAAGAAATGAGTAAGGTGGGAGGGAAGCAGCACTGAACAGGTTCTTTTTCTCTTCAAGGCTGCTAGGTAAGATTTGGTTCCTCTGCCTGGCCTTTTCTTTCTAGCCCAACAGGCAATGTTTTACTCCTGAAAGTTTGCATCTGAATATTACATTTTATTTTCTTATGAATTTTTAGAAATTCAGAAAATAAAATGAAAACAGCTTCAGTGAAGAAACTGACTCAAACCAGTTGCCCTCTATAATTCAGGAAAGAAAAGCATTTAGCATTTCAGGATGGAGTGTGCAATATTAATCATAACAAAATATGAGAAAATGCAGACTTTTGCATTCTCTCTAGGTGATTTCAAACTTTTATTTGTCTCCTATTGTATATGCAGAAGCAATCATAAAATTTAAAAGCATCAGTTTATATAACACAGCATAGTCTGTCCCTCAATATTTCCACTATTTTTTTCCCACAAAGCAATTTGAACCTGATATTTATATGTTTTTAAAGCTTTATATACACAAATCATCCAAAGTTTTATTAAATTTACAGTCATGTCTCCAAGTAGTAATGTCTCTTTCTGTCACTAGAAAATGGTTTCAAAATGGCAATAATTTGAAGGCTTATGTCTATACTACTCAATTAACTAAATGTAAGGGCTTGGGGGTTTTCGCACTCCTTATTTATGAGATAGCAAGTCTGAAAAAAATTAAAACCCATCTGAACTCAAGAGGATATTGGTTGTTTCCCAGAAGAACATCAGGAGAACGGATATAGTGACTTTTTATTACTCTAAGCTTGATTAA